ATTATCAATTACCTTACTTTAAAAATATTACGTGATTACTGCTAGTATTTAATATTTGAGTTTGACTGAATAAAAAAATAACTTATTAGCTGCTATTAAGAAAACACTCGAATACATACTTTTATCAATTTATATACAAGAAAATTCATATCCTCATTTTTCAAATAGATGCATAAACTAATAACATCATGTTGCAATATGGAAAAATTCAGAATCTTATTTTCTTTTTAAGTTGCCAAATTGTTGTTGTTGATTTTACAACATATGATATTCATCGCCAAAGAGTTTCGATCAACCTAATCGTTTATTGATCAAACAACAATAATAATTAATTAATTTGAATGAATATAAATAATAATTAGTGAGACACGAATACATGTTCACTTCATAATCAAATAACATGACGTGAACATACTTAAAACACATTAATCATTAGCTCTCGATGACCTTAAGATTTTCTAATCTTTCTTTGAACTAGGATTTGAGAGACAATTTTGTAAAATAAACAAGAAAAATAAATGAATGGCATTAATTTGTTCATAATGAGAATAAAATGCTCATATTGTTTGAACCACCTTTTTGTAGAATGAGAATGAAAAATATAATCGTCATCGGGATTCACGTGAGATAGAAAATTTGAATTTAAATGTTGATGTGATAGATAACGATCATATTTTTCATTTTAATGAGAAAATAAGGTGGCCCAAACGGGCCGAATTGTAAAAATATATATGTAATAGTGGATATAAATAATATTTTGACATTTAATTTCTTTTGAAACCTAATTAGCCCTTGTTTGGCCTCCTATTTCTTAAAATTCATTTTCAATCACAAATTTTATAGGACATAACTCATTAATTCTTATCAACTTTTCAACTGTATATTTCACAAACTGTGATCAAAATCTACAAAAAATCCAAATTTTATTAAAACCAAACAAGGGCTTAAATTAGGCTCTCGAACAACCTATGACTATTCAGACATTCCTATAACCCGGTAAGACTCGAAGGGTCTGCTTAGAAAAATCACGAAATCGGTATAGTTAAGATCCTTATAACTTTTATTCGAGTATATTTCATTTCTTGATGTTAGAATTTTTAAGTTGCTTTGAATTATCCCCGACGATCTAAAATTTCAAATGAGAAAAACTCAAAAAGGTCTACATTAAGGTTGAGCTGGTTATGTGCCTAATTTACCCGACTTCGTCAGTTTGGCCCAATCTAAAATTGACCCTACTCGTTTTGTGAGACCCAACTCAATTCATGCCAGGTAAGGTGAGGCTGACAGTTTTAGCTTAGGCCGGCAGTTTTAGCTTAGGCCCAAGCCATAATGAATTTTGGGTTAATTAGGCCCAATACCCTCCTAAACTAACAAGTTAGAATATGGAACAATACATAAAGTCATAATATGTAATGAACGACTTTCTACATAGTGAATTTTGTGGTGGATGAAATCACATGTTCGTATCTTGTTATCCTCACAATGCATGAAACTTGAATTACGGATACAGTCAACTCGTATGGTATGATTATTAATGTTATTCTTGAAAGATTTAATATGTCTGAAGTATAGTTTAAGTGATATTATTGGGAGAGGAAGTAAATACTTGTTATACTATTTTTTCCTTGACCATGATCTTGTCCCATTCGATTTTCCTACGAAAGTTTTTAATGAGATAGTTTTTGTGGCGTATTCAAATGAATAATGTATTTTTTTTCTTCATTAGAATTTTTTCCACATGATTTTTTCTAATAAGATTTTAACGAAAAACATATTTTTCATGTAATGAATATCTATAGCTTAAACAACATTTATCCTCGAAATAATACTCGGATATGTACGAGATTCCCAAAGAGATTAACAAGAGCTATTTTTGAATCATCATATTACTATGCTCATCAAAGATTGATAAATATCTTGTATAAACACAGTGTTATTTAAAAACTATACAAGATAACATCAGACATACTTATCATAAATCGTAATATTGAAGATATTGACATTCCAAATTGGGATGAATTGATACAAGAATTGAAATAAGGAGAAGTAGCTGTACTTTTTTTCCCCTATGATCAAGTTTTGTCCCACTAAAAAAAGAACTGTTTCAAAATTACTCGCAACATTTTACTATTTCAAATTATTTGTACCCTTTTCATTTGTTGAAATTTTTGTCCATCGAGGTTTTTTTTTTTTTTTATTTTGGCCAAACAAAGTTTCAATGAAATAGTTATTATATTATATAAATAATCATTCAAAAAGTAGTATTTGTGAGTGACAATTATATCCATGTAGCTCTACATTCTATTATTATTGCATCCCTATTTCTTCCCTATATCTTCTATATATTAAAAGTGGCTATGTAACGGAATTTCTTGTTTTTAACGGAAAAACTAACGGAATTTGTTATTTTAACGGATTATGTAACAGAATTTCTTGTTTTAAACAGGCAGCTGCACCTTCTTTCAGTGTTTTTATCATAACTTTGTATTCCGATGTTCGATTGAGGCGATACAAAATGCGTTGGAAAGCTAACCACAAAATGGATGTCAAACAGGGTCTATATAAATAATCATTCAAAAAGTAGTATTTGTGAGTGACAATTATATCCATGTAGCTCTACATTCTATTACTATTGCATCCCTATTTCTCCCCTATATATATATAATATATATGAGGTTTTGGTTCTTAATAAAATACACAAATTTATTAACTTCTCTAATTTCTTCTTTATTTTATAACAATAATTAATATTTGTAGGGTACAAATGATTTTCTTTTTATTTTTTCTCAAAATTATTTTCAATAAGATAATTTTACAAGTGGATCTATGGATTTTCCCTACTTTTTAAAACACATTCTCAAAAAAAAAAAAAAAAAAAAAAAAAATCATAAAATATACACTCAAAAAATTTACATCAAACAACTCTAAATTACTGTTTGTGTGGAATTATTTTTCTCTACTCATTTATAATTACACATTTTCCAGAAATTATCATTTTTTAAATTTTTTCATAATATTTTTTATTTTATAATTCTAAAAAAAAAATCGAGATAAAAATGAATAATAGATATTGAATTAAGAACCTGTTTGATGCATATTATTGAGTGGAGAATGCATTTTAAACAGTGATTTGATGGAAAGTATGTTGTTAAAAAATAAGAATTTTTTTTGAATTTGCGTGTAATATTATTTTATTGAAAAATATGGAGTTGGAAATGAGTTTCGAAAGAAATAAATTTTTTTGTGAAAGAATGTGAATCAGTGTGAATAGTCTTCAATCGATGAATTTATAAATGTGGTCCACAGTGTCACGATCACAAGGTGACGCCCCCACCTCCACGTAAACCCCTTCCCTACGAGACCCTGGAGGTAAAAAGAGAATTTCCGCGGATTTGCCAATTCTCTCTTTTCAAAATCTCTCCTAAACCCCTTCACGTGCCCTAACCGCTTAAAGATACACCCTCAATTCTAATTGTACGTAATGAATCCTCACTCGTATATGCAGACCAAGTCGACGGAGCTGGCGGAGCAGATCGCTGCCGCTGCGACAGCAGTGCAGATCTCAGCCGCCTGCTCCACTGTGGATTCCTTCCTCCGTAAGCACACCCCGGACCAGCAGCGGTGGTTCTTTTCCATAACTTTCCCAACCCTAATTTGTAGAATCTTCGGCTTTGATGAATCCGCTTCTTCTTCAGCACTAAAGCGTAAGTCTCTCAGCGGATGGATTGATATCGCGGCGTCAGCAGATGATTCTGAGCTCGATGGTAGGGTATTCTGACCTAATTAAGTCAGTCAGTATTTCGAATTTTTATTCTCATATTTTATCTTCCTAGAGTGCTAGAATTGCGTTGTTCCCCAACTATCTTTGATTAATTTCCCCCAGGTTTGGATTTAATTTATCTATTTCTGTATATTTTTTTAAAAGAATTTTACAATATTTATTCCTTGAAAGTTAAGATGGTTAAAAACGCAGTTTCTCGTCCAACTAGTAGTGTTGTTTCACTTTGGACATTGAACTTTTTTTCCCCCAAAACTTTTATTTGTTCTAAGATTCTATTGGTATAACCATTTTGAATTTTGTAAGACATTTGCAACATTGTAATTAGATACTGTTAGGTTATTTGATTAATTCGATGTCTCTGGTGTGATTTCTTCGTCAATTTATTATCCATGCTTTAATATTCTTCATCTACTATATTTCCCTGGTTCACAGGCAAAATATTCACCCTACTTTCACCAAATGGAGTGTTGTTGTCTTCAATTTCAGCGGTTGATAGGCTGTCCCTTGTCAAGTATATATTTCCGGCTGAACGATTACCAGAATGGGTTCGGTGCATGCTTCAAATCAAACCTGATTGTCAGGTGTTGACTGAGTTGTGTCCCTTATTCAAGAATAAGGTTATGGAAGTTTTGATTAAGGGATCTTCAAATCAGGTTCAATTGAATGTTTTCGAATATTACATGTTTTGGTTTGCTTATTGCCCTGTTTCTAGAGGGAATAGCGAGGGTTCTGAGACAGTGAAGATCCAGCAGACGAAAAAGTTTAGGTTGGAGAAGTGGGCATATTCAATTCCTGGTCTATCAAGTAATAAACGTGAAGAAGAGAAGAAAACTGAGATTAGTTTCTATTTAAGGCTACTCTATTCATATCTTCGTTCATTTGTGCCTGCGTATGATTTGAATGTGCATCAACCATATCATAGTTCCTTACTTCATTATTCCACGGATTATGATATTTCTCTTATTGAGAGAGCAGAATTTCTGGTTAATACGTTGATCTATTTTTGGTTGCTCGACAATGATTTTTCACCCTTTCCTGTGGGTTTGTGCAAGTCATTTGGTCTAAGGTTCTCTTTTAAATCTGTTTTGGGTGAGAGTCCACCTACTTCAGGACTGGGTGATGTGGTAAATGTTTTTGTGAAGTACCTGAATCTGATTTCTCTGCCAATGAAAGATGAGTTCAATCAAATTGAAAATGTTGGGAGTCCTAGCTTCGGAGTTCCAGGTTCAGTTAATTTTGTTAAATCAAGGGATGCTGCTTTGAGTATGCACTCTGTTGGGTCTTGGAACTCGTGGATTCAGAGGCCATTGTATAGATATATTTTGAGAGCATTTCTGTTTTGTCCAGTGGAAACTTCCATCAAGAATGCATCTCAGGTATTTACTCTCTGGGTCAATTACATGGAACCTTGGATGATTACTTTTGAAGAGTTCACTGATCTAGATAAGCTCATGGGAATGTCAACCATCAGCTCAGCAGAGGTCTTTAAATCATCACTACATGAATATACATCGTCTTGGCGTGGTTTCGTACTGTTAAATTACCTCTTTTACAGCTCTTTGGTAATGCATTTTATTGGATTTGCGCACAAGTTCCTACATACAGATGCAGAAGTAATAGTTCAGATGGTTGCGAAGGTCTGTTCCATCCTGATCTTCCTATGTATTTGTTCGAGCTTCGTGATTTAGCTTTCATTCGCACTGATAGGTTCTCTGTTGATATTCCGCTAGAGAAACATGGACAAGAAGCTTGATAATCGAACTTTGATATTTTACTCTTTCCATACCATGCGTTATCGAACGATATTAATGATCAAGTTTGTGATGTATATTCAATGGTTATGTGCTTTAGCTTTGTTGTTGTAAAAGTTATAAATTAAACACTTGTCATGTTGAGTCTTTATTAGCTTCTAAGCACCTTAATTAAACCATCGGTCTGCATGTTTTTGGACCAAAGAAAGAGAAGATAGAAAGACATCTGTGTAAAAGTGTCTTCGTTTGGCATGTGCTGATAGAAATGTCTTCTTTTCCATTGTCTCTCTTTTCAGGCATTTTTTCATTATAATTTTTTGAGGATTGTAGGGTGGGGGGGGAGGGGGGGATTAATTATTGCTGCATCAATCTAGTATTTTACGGGTAATACTCATTGATTACCTAATACTACTAATTTTTTTCCCCGGTTCATGATAAAGTGAAATCAGGGCTAAGTTTGCTTTAGGTGCCATTTTAGTTTTCAGGCATTATAGTATTGCCGAAATGCTAGAAACTAAAAAACTAAGAAACTTTAGAGTGACATGGTTGGACTCTTTTTTCTTATCATTCATAACTTTCTATATAGGATGGCGGTGACATCAAGATTGAATTTGTTAAAATTGTTCGTTTGTTTTCAAAACAGTTTCTGTCCACAGCATAGATGCACAATGCATGTTAGCAGAGTAAGAATAAAAGTAAAAATAGCTGGTGGAATTTAACATAGCAAGTCAAAGGTGGCCAAGTAATTGGAGAAGTTGTGAATCTTGGTCAATCATTCTCTAACTGTTCTTTATTTTCTCCTCTATGTGAGTACTTCTGAGCCTTCTTTTGCATAAATCAAAAATTTCCAGAAGGGCACTAATATCACGGTCTTCTATGTTGGCTATGTGATCAAATATTCACTTTTTTATAAAATGTTTGTTTTTTATTGCCAGTTTCTGAAATTGTTTCTCCCGATTGAAGTATTTGTGAAACAAATATTAAAATATTTCACTTGTATCCAAATGTCAGATTGAGGTTCTTGCTGGCCTAAAATATGAATCACAATGTCTTGGCTATTAAATACCTCTGATCATCGGTATATGCCATATCAGCCCAATTTTCAGTTAAGAATTTTATTAGTTAATGACTTGAGTCTGGAAAATAGGCGAGGAGGATTTTGATGGTGGATGATTCCTTTGTGCTAGGTTTCTAAGTTAATTTTGTTTTTAGTCTTTCTCCAGACACTTCAGTTCCCAGTTTTATTCATGCAGGTTATAAACATATTAACTTCATCGACGGAGCTGAAGGATCTCATAAAGAATGTTGACACTGTTTTTCATTCGAAACCAGCTGAATCATCTAGGTCTCATCTTAATACCTTAAACAGATTTGTTCCGACAATCCGCCAACAATTACAGGTATTTGCATCTCATTTTCAATCCCATGCCTTTCACTATTCCTTTCTGTATGTCTCCATATCTGTAAATCAATCTATCAATTTACTTTTGTTTTAGACCTTTCTATGAATATATGAAAGTCTTCGAAGAACATTTTGTCTATTATACGAAGGAATTTCAGCTTTTCAGAAACCTTATCATACTGAAATTGATATGTTGGCTATGCCCATGCGATATTTGTATTAATTCCATTGTGAACTTTGAAATCCAACACTCTTGGCATATCAATGTTTGATGTCAGTGATATGGACAGTCACTTCACTCAGCTGATATTTGCAGTCCAATCATAGTTTCACATGCATCTCTTTTTCTTGAAATTGTTTATTTGAAAAAACAAATGATTGCTTCCCGAAGGGTAATATATCAAACACCAGTGTTTGATATTAAATATTTTCTGTGTTTGCTTCTAGTAGCTGAATTCCTTCTTCATGTCTGTGCTTCTTAGGTTCATCTCTTCTTAGTATTTTATTTTCCGTCTCTCCTGGAAAAATCTTAATTTATGCATATTGACGAGTCTTGTAGATATTGTGTATTCTAGTAGTCCAGGACAGTATTTTGTTATTTAATAATCTTATCCAAATGCTTCAGGACTGGGAGGATGGCCTATGTGAGACTGATGCAGATGGATCCTTCTTGCATGAGAACTGGAACAAAGATTTACGGCTTTTCAGCGATGGAGAAGATGGTGGACAACAATTGCTTCAGGTTTGATTTTGAGCGTTGTTTGGTTGCAATTTGTGCCTGTCTGGATAAATAGAGTAACTTCGGCTAATTTCTCTTTCTGCAGCTGTTTTTATTGCGAGCGGAATCTGAGCTGCAAGCAATCTATAGCAACAATGTAGCTCAGAATCTCCAGTGTCTAGACTCCTTGAAAGCCCAAGTGGGTGTCTTGTTTGGTGGTCCTATTACAAACTCTTCTTCAATTGGAACACCACGTGAGTCAAAAACTACGCAGCAGCAGCAAGCACATGATTTAAGATTCGAGCCTAGAAGTTGTTTTGAAACCCGTACTGGGGGTGAAATAAAGTACAAGGGCGATTGGATGAAGCGACCTATCTCCAATGATGAGATTGCATGGCTAGCGAAATTGCTAGTCTATCTCTCAGGATGGCTGAATGAGTGTCTTGGGTTAAATCGGGTGAACTGCACCCAAGGAGGTCCTGATTGGTCTTACGTGCAAATCTCAGGTGGTGTGGAAAAAGTGACCATCAAAGTGGTTTTGTGCTGGCTCCTTTCTTGGATAACCTGGTTACGCGAGACTGGAGCGAACTTTATGAAGGAGCATGGTCTTAGGGTGAACCTCAGAATGCTAGCTTCCAAGAAAGTGGTACTCAGGTTGTTGGTTATTGCTGCTGCATTGCTTTTGTTCAAGAAAGTTTTTGCAGTATAGAGGTGTAAATATATATGTTTCTTTACAAGCAAGTAAAAGAAAAAAAAAGACATATAATGGTACATAAAAAACTTGTCGTGAAATTTTGCTTTTAAGTACTTTGTTGTCAGGGTGGTGTTTTTTTAATATTTTATGCAGGCTAGAATGGTACCAAAACCAGACCGAACTTACTGATTTTGCAGGATTAAAATTGACAATCAATCAATTCTGAAACCATAAACCGGGCATAATCCAAATTATTATTTTCATATATATAGTGGCCGGTGTAAATTGTTGCATTTTGTTGAACTTGAGAAATGCAAATGATTTGCATAATCATAAACCATTTACGAGATTGTTGAGGATTTAGATACATTTCAAATATTATAGCTTAGAATTTTTGCAGTTTTAACTATTCGCATCGGTAAGAGAATTTTGGAACTTGAAGAATCTGAATCGACCAAATTAAAACCCATGGTTTTGGTCATGCAGTTTTGTCTTGTAATTATAGATGGAATCATAGATTCCAGTTTTAGCACATTTTTCTTTGTATTACGGTTTTGACGATGGGCGTCGCTCACTTGGCTCCGATTGTGCTAATTAATTGTTAATAGATTTTTGTACAATTTGTGGTAAAAAAAAAACTGTGTAAATCTTAAAAGCATAAATTTTTGAAAATATGGCTGAACAATGGCCAAGTATTTTCTGCTCATTATTTAAAGAAGAGTATACATTTTAACAATCGAAGATTCAGTCCTGGGAAAAATTCATATCTAAGATATTTTCTTTACCTCAATTCAAAAGTAAGATAAAATAGTTTGAAAATTCAAAAATCAGGTATGACTTTAATTAATGAAAAATATTTATTAAATAAAGATAATAAAGTCACAGTTTGTGATTAATGGTCACATATTCATAATT